TGAAAGTGGGAGCAATTAGCTAGAGTAGCTCCATGCAGAGCATTGTAGACATAGAATATTTGCAAAATACATACGGCTCTGAATGTGACAGACCCGTAGACTAAACTTCTCTCATGAGCAAAACATGATCATACCTTAGTACTCTTTGGGTGTTAATCACATAGCGATGTGAACTAGATTATTGACTCTAGTAAACCCTTTGGGTGTTGGTCACATGACGATGTGAACTATGAGTATTAATCACATACAGATGTGAATATTGGTGTTAAATCACATGGTGATGTGAACTAGATTATTGACTCTAGTGCAAGTGGGAGACTGAAGAAAATATGCCCTAGTGGCAATAATAAAGTTATTATTTATTTCCTTATTTCATGATAAATGTTTATTATTCATGCTAGAATTGTATTAACCGGAAACATAATACATGTGTGAATACATAGACAAACATAGTGTCACTAGTATGCCTCTACTTGACTAGCTCGTGAATCAAAGATGGTTAAGTTTCCTAGCCATAGACATGAGTTGTCATTTGATTAACGAGATCACATCATTAGGAGAATGACGTGATTGACATGACCCATTCCGTTAGCCTAGCACTTGATCGTTTAGTATGTTGCTATTGCTTCCTTCATGACTTATACATGTTCCTGTAACTATGAGATTATGCAACTCCCCTTTGCCGGAGGAACACTTTGGGTGCTACCAAACGTCACAACGTAACTGGGTGATTATAAAGGTGCTCTACAGGTGTCTCCGAAGGTACATGTTGGGTTGGCGTATTTCGAGATTAGGTTTTGTCACTCCGATTGTCGGAGAGGTATCTCTGGGCCCTCTCGGTAATACACATCACTTAAGCCTTGCAAGCATTGCAACTAATGAGTTAGTTGTGGGATGATGTATTACGGAACGAGTAAAGAGACTTGCCGGTAACGAGATTGAACTAGGTATTGGATACCGACGATCGAATCTCGGGCAAGTAACATACCGATGACAAAGGGAACAACGTATGTTGTTATGCGGTTTGACCGATAAAGATCTTCGTAGAATATGTAGGAGCCAATATGAACATCCAGGTTCCACTATTGGTTATTGACCAAGAATATAGTTCTCGAACCCGTAGGGTCCGCACGCTTAAGGTTTCGATGACAGTTATATTATGAGTTTATGAGTTTTGATGTACAGAAGGAGTTCGGAGTCCCGGATGAGATTGGGGACATGACGAGGAGTCTCGAAATGGTCGAGGGACGTAAAGATCGATATATTGGACGACTATATTCGGAGTTCGGAAAGGTTCCGAGTGATTCGGGTATTTTTCGGAGTACCGGAGAGTTACTGGAATTCGCCGGGGAGTATATGGGCCTTATTGGGCCATACGGGAATAGAGGAGAGAGGCCAAAAGGAAGGAGGCCTGCGCCCCCCTCTGGTCCGAATTGGACAAGGGGCGCAGCCCCCCTTTCCTTCTTCCTCTCCCCCTCTTTCCCCTTCTCCTACTCCAACAAGGGAGGTGGAATCCTACTAGGACTAGGGAGTCCTAGTAGGACTCCACACTTGGCGCGCCCCCTCCTAGGGCCGGCCTCCTCCCCCCTTGCTCCTTTATATACGGGGGCAGGGGGGCACCCCATGACACACAAGTTGATATACGGATCGTTCCTTAGCCGTGTGCGGTGCCCCCCTCCATCATATTCCACCTCGGTCATATCGTCGCGGAGTTTAGGCGAAGACCTGCGCCGGTAGAACATCATCATTGTCACCACGCCGTCGTGCTGACGGAACTCATCCCCGACGCTTTGCTGGATTGGAGCCCGGGGAACGTCATCGAGCTGAACGTGTGCTGAACACGGAGGTGCCGTACGTTTGGTGCTTGGATCGGTCGAGTCGTGAAGACGTACGACTACATCAACCGCGTTGTGATAACGCTTCCGCTTACGGTCTACGAGGGTACGTGGACAATACTCTCCTCTCTCGTTGCTATGCGATCACCATGATCTTACATGTGAGTAGGAAAATCTTGAAATTACTACGTTCCCCAACAGTTTCATGATAACATCTAATTCAATAGTGCAAATACAATTCTAAATAAAATAAAATTATGATGATTTCATCCAAAAATTTAAACTAAGATGATATTTACTAAATGCAAGAATATGCACTAGATATTATCATTTTACCATCCTTGACCGAGTGATCACAGAACTCTTGCTGCTGCTTCCATGCATGAAATTTATGATTTTATGAGATAAATAGAATCACAAATCAAGCCACATTATCCTCATGATAGTATTCTAAGTTGCCTCTGCCTGCCATGAACAAAAATTACCAGGTAACTGAAAAATCAAAAAGCTATCAGGCTCTAGACTGAAACAACAAGCATAGATCGATCTCCCCATTGCCTGACGCTGTTGTGGAGTGGAGTTCAACGGTCCACCGGAGACGAGACTTGGGGTCATGGTGATGAGGCCGGAGTCGCCGGCTTGTGGCTCACGATCTGGGCGAAAAGGAATCAGCTGAAATCATTGGGACAACTTATTTTCGTGAACGAAGAGAGCATATGATTGAAATTATTGGTGTTAAACCATTAGAATATATGCCTCTAAAACAATTACCTAGTTATTTACAAAATGATGCTATGCGTTTCCCCTTTGTAACCAACCAACCAGACACTTCTTCCAGAGTTCTTTGTTACTCACGTGAACAAGATACTACTATCTAAATCAAGGAAATGTTATCTAGGGACCGTTCGCCAGGGGGCTAAACCCAGTGAAGGTCCTCCCTGCCCGTCGCATGAATCTCGGAACAGAACGGACACCACGTAGGATCGCTGGAGTGGTTCGATGTGCAACTGCTTCTGGCGAGCGCGTGCTTGCCGGGTCGAACCCATGACCTCATGTGCGCGGGCGGGCGCCCAACACCACTGGGCTACTAGGGCCTTTTTATGAATCTTTTGTGTTTAAAATGCCACACATATTTTCCAGTCCCGAAAATCACATGGCAGTTTTATTTTTTGTAGCATGGCATGTTTTAAGAGAATGCCATTTTTATTATTGGGAGATGTCATTTTTTTATTTCTAATGGCATGGTAGTTTTTTTTTACTAAGCGCACGGCTTTTTTATTAACAATATGATGGCATTTTTATTATAAGAGGATGTAGTTTTATTATAAGAGGGTGACATTTTTTATAATGATAGTTTTTACCGTAGCATCTTTTATTAAGAGGAGAGCATTTTTTATTATAAGATAATGGCATTTCTCATAAATAGGTTGGTATTTTTACTATAAGAAGATGGCATTTTTTATCATGACATTTATTATAAATCTGTCATGCATGTTTTATATATGATGCAATTTTTACTTTTTTTGTACTACTGTTATACATGAAAAATCTTTTGAGATGTGATAGTTTATATAGTTTTTTCTATCATTTTTTTCTTTTTACCTTTATAATGGGCTGCAAGGCCTAATAAGAAGGGCTGACTAGGCTAGGTCGTCCTGGGCCGGCTCGACGGGGGTCCTCCCCAGCGACCGGACACCATATAGTCCAAGATGTGGTACCCCTAAAAAAAAGTCCGAGATGTGAGAATAACAAATTAACGAGCGCTCCTTCGGAAATCAGCGCCACTTGGCGCGCTCTCAACGATTCGCCACGTGTCGCACTCTGGACGCTCCCTTCAGATTTCGTTTTTTATTTTTTTTTCGCACGCGTTTTCGGCTTTTTAAACGGTTTTTCTGTGTTTTTTCGATGTTTTTGTTTTCCACCGGTCTTTCCTAGTTTTTCGACTAAAAAATAATTTTCGAAAAAAAATTGCGTAAAAAAATGCGTTTTCTTTTTTCTTTTCCTTTCGCGAGAGTCACGGTTTTGTTTCCGTGAGAGGCGCGATTGTTCTTTCGCGAGAGGCACGGCCGTGCCTCTTGGAAACAAAAAAATGCGTTTTCTGTTTTTTTCCTTTCACGATAGGCACGATTTTGCTTCCGCGAGAGGCACAGTTGTGCTTCCGCGAGAGTCACGGTCGTGCCTCTTGGAAATGAAAAAATAGTTTTCTATTTTTTTCTTCCACGAGAGGCACGGTTGTGATTTCGCGAGAGTCACGGCCGTGCATCCTCGGAAACGAAAAAAATGCGTTTTTTGTTTTTATTTCTTTCGCGAGAGACACGGTTTTGCTTCCGCGAGAGGCACGGTTGTGATTTCGTAAGAGGCACAGGCGTGGCTCTTTCGGAAAGGGAAAACACCGTGCTCCAGGTTCGGTTTTTTCGTCCGGTTTTTCCGTAAAAAAAAAGCTCGTCAAAACCTATCAACGTGGGATCTAGTTTTGAAGATCTCGACGCGAGGAATCCAACGGCGAAGGCGGTTCGAGATTTGGACGCACGGATTAAGAGATAAAATATTTTGAATAAACGGATCTACGAAAAAAAGGAAAAACTCTCAGCTTGCGACAAGTGGCGCACATGCAGCACGCACTTATCGCAACCTGAGGAATTGGAATGATCTTTGCAACAAGTACTCCTTAACTAGTGATTTCGCCGAGATGTGATTGATAGTGTAACCTCCGTTGGTACTAGGAAGATGTTCTTGCAGTTAGAGTTTAGGTAGGGCATTTTGGAGAACGAGCTCCGTTGAACAATTCAAAATTCAAAAAAAATATTTTCAAAAAGTTTTGAAAAAATTTACACATGTATGCCAGGACATGAAGTGTATGTGTGTAAAATTCAGAATGAAATACCTTGAATTGCGAGCTGCACAATAAAACCAAAATCATGGACTTTGAGGATGAACACTACGTATGCTAAAAAGCTCCAAATTTGTCTTTTTTGTGTAACTCTCATTTTAACTATTTTGACTTGAAAAATTACACACATGTACATGATGTATCTGGGTATATGTCTATTTATTTATTTATTTGCAGAATTTTTTGAAACTGAAAACTTTCAATTTTAAATATTTCAAATTAAGGCCTCCATGAAGCTAAAAAACATCTTACATTTAGGAACAGAGAGATAGTATTTAGAAGTGATCCTCCCGCTTCTTGATCCGCACGCGGAGCTCGTAAGGCGGCGGTGCGTCCATGCTCGCCGGCGTCTCCACCATCAACACCGTGAACCTCCGGATCACGGCGGCCACCACGGCCTTTATCTGCATGTAAGCCAACTCCTTTCCGAGGCACGCCCGCGGCCCCGCGTGGAACACCGGGTACCTCGCCGCGTTGATCGCCACGAACTCGCCGCGATCACCATGGCGCCACCGCTCGGGTCGGAACTGGCGGCAGTCATCACCCCACAGCCGCGGCATCCTCCCCATCGTGTATGTCGAGTAGTCCGCACACCAGCCGGTCCGCACCGTCGTGCCGTTCGGAAGCACGTCTGCGGCCGCGGCCATGCGCGTGTTGATCGGCACCGGCGGGTACAGCCGCATCGCCTCCGTGAGCGCTGCGTGCAGGTAGTGCATCCCCTTCAGCTCCTCGTATTGCCCTGCGTCGTCTCCGTGCGGCATGCGCGTGACCTCCTGATACGTCCATTTTGCATCTTGCTTTTATATCAATATTTATTGCATTATGTGCTGTTATTACACATTATATATCAATACTTATGGCTATTCTCTCTTATTTTGTAAGGTTTACCATGAAGAGGGGGAATGCTGGCAGCTGGAATTCTGGCTGGAAAAGGGGCAAACGTTGGAAACTTATTCTGCACTGCTCCAAAAGACCTGAAACTCCACGAAACTTATTTTTGGAATTAATAAGAAATATTGAGCGGAAGAAACACCTCAGGGGGCCCACACCATGGCCAGGAGGGTGGGGGGGCGCCCACCCCTACTGGGCGCGCCCCCTGTCTGCTGGGCCCCCTGGTGGCCCTCCGGTGTCCATCTTTTGCTATATGAAGGCTTTTACCCTGGAAACAATTGTGGGCAAGCTTACGAGATGAAACTCCACCGCCACGAGGCGGAACCTTCGTGGAACCAATCTAGAGCTCCGGCAGAGCTATTCTACCGGGGACACTTCCCTCGGGAAGGGGGAAATCATGACCATCGTCATCACCAACGATCCTCCCATCGGGAGAGGGTCAATCTCCATCAACATCTTCACCAACACCATCTCCCCTCAAACCCTAGTTCATCTCTTGTATCCAATCTTGTATCCAAAACCACAAATTGGTACCTGTGGGTTGCTAGTAGTGTTGATTACTCCTTGTAGTTGATGCTAATTGGTTTACTTGGTGGAAGATCATATGTTCAGATCCTTAATGCATATTATTACACCTATGATTATGAACATGAATATGCTTTGTGAGTAGTTACGTTTGTTCCCGAGGACATGGGTGAAGTCTTGCTAGTAGTAGTCATGTGAATTTGGTATTCGTTCGATATTTTGATGAGATGTATGTTGTCTTTCCTCTAGTGGTGTTATGTGAACGTCGACTACATGACATTTCACCATTATTTGGGCCTAGAGGAAGGCATTGGGAATTAATAAGTAGATGGTGGGTTGCTAGAGTGACAGAAGCTTAAACCCTAGTTTATGCATTGCTTCGTAAGGGGCTGCTTTGGATCCATATGTTTGATGCTATGGTTAGGTTTACCTTAATACTTTTGTTGTAGTTACGGATGCTTGCAATAGGGGTTAATCATAAGTGGGATGCTTGTTCAAGTAAGGGCAGTACCCAAGAACCGGTCCACCCACATATCATATTATCAAAGTACCGAACGTGAATCATATGAGCGTGATGAATCTAGCTTGACGATAATTCCCATGTGTCCTCGGGAGCGCTGTTCTCATTATAAGAAATTGTCCAGGCTTGTCCTTTGCTACAAAAAGGATTGGGCCACCTTGCTGCACTTTATTTAATTTCATTGCTTGTTACTCGTTACGATTTATCTTATCACAAAACTATCTGTTACCTACAATTTCAGTGCTTGCAGAGAAAACCTTACTGAAATCCGCTTATCATTTCCTTCTGCTCCTCGTTGGGTTCGACACTCTTACTTATCGAAAGGACTATGCTAGATCCCCTACACTTGTGTGTCATCAAGACTCTTTTCTGGCGCCGTTGCCAGGGAGTGTAGCGCTTTTGGCGAGTGGAACTTGCTAAGGAAACATTTATATAGTGTGCTGAAATTTTATGTTACTTGTCACTATGGAAACTAATCTTTGAGGGGCTTGTTTGGGGCATCTTCGCCCCGAACAGTAGAGCAAAGAGTTGGTCCTCAACCTACTGAACCTACTGAAAATGTTTACTTTGAGATTCCTTCGGGTATGATAGAGAAGCTTCTAGCTAATCCATTTGCAGGAGATGGAACATTACATCCCGATTTACACCTTATCTTTGTGGATGAAGTTTTTGGATTATTTAAGCTTGCAGGTATTCCCGATGATGTTGTCAAAAGGAAGGTCTTCCCTTTATCTTTGAAGGAAGATGCATTGACATGGTATAAGCTATGTGATGATACAGGATCTTGGAATTATAAACGATTGAAGTTGGAATTTCACCAGAAGTTCTACCCTATGCATCTTGTTCACCGTGATCGTAATTACATATATAATTTCTAGCCTCGCGAAGGAGAAAGCATCGCTCAAGCTTGGGGGAGGCTTAAGTCAATGTTATATTCATGCCCCAATCATGAGCTCTCCAGATAAATGATTATTCAAAAAATTTATGCTCGGCCTTCTCTCAATGATCGCACCATGCTAGATACTTCCTGTGCTGGTTCTTATATGCTGAAGACTATTGAATTCAAATGGGACTATTGGAAAGAATTAAACGCAACTCTGAAGATTGAGGTTCCGACGATGGTAAGGAGTCAGGTATGACACCTAAGTTTGATTGTGTTGAATCTTTTATGGATACCGATGCTTTTCGTGGATTTAGCGCTAAATATGGACTTGACTGTGAGATAGTAGCTTCTTTCTGTGAATCTTTTGCTACTCATGTTGATCTCCCTAAGGAGAAGTGGTTCAAATATAAGCCTCCCATTGAAGTAAAAGTAGCTGCACCTATTATAGTTGAAGAAAATACTATCACTTATAATGATCCTATTGTTCCTACTACTTATATTGAGAAACCACCTTTTCCGGTTAGGATAAAGAATCATGCTAAATCTTCGATTGTTGTTCGTAAGAGTAATACTAGGACGTATACACGTCCTGAGCAAATCAAAGTTGAACCTAGTATTGTTATGGTTAAAGGTCTCCTGGATGATGATTTAGATGGGCATGTTATTTATTTCTGTGATGAAGCTGCTAATATCGCAAAACCAGATGCTAAGATACATAGACCCGTTGTAGGCATGCCTGTTATTTCTGTTAAAATAGGAGATCAATGTTATCATGACTTATGTTATATGGGTGCTAGTGCTAGTGCAATACCTCATTCCTTATATAAAGAAATTATGCATGACATTGCACCTGCTGAGATAGAAGAAATAGATGTTACAATTAAGCTAGCCAATATAGATACTATTTCACCAGTTGGGATTGTTAGAGATGTTGGAGTCTTGTGTGGGAAGGTCAAATACCCTGCTGATTTTCTTGTTCTTGGTTCCCCACAAGATGACTTTTGTCCCATCATATTTGGTAGACCCTTCTTAAATACTGTTAACGCTAGGATTGATTGTGAAAAGGATGTTGTCACAATTGGCTTGGATGATATGACTCATGAATTTAATTTTGCTAAATTTCGTAGACAACCCCGTGATAAAGAATTACTTAGTAAATATGAAATAATTGGTCTTGCTTCTATTGTCGTGCCTCCTACTGATCCGTTAGAACAATATTTGCTAGACCATGAAAATGATATGTTTATGAAAGAAAGAAGGGAAATAGATGAAGTGTTCCTTAAACAATAACCTATTCTGAAACATAACCTTCCCGTTGAAATTCTAGGGGATCCCCCTCCACCCAAGGGTGATCCCGTGTTTGAACTCAAACCATTACCTTATAATCTTAAGTATACTTATCTTGATGAAAAGAAAATATATCATGTTATTATTAGTGTTAACCTTTCAGAACAAGAAGAAGAAAGATTATTGAAAACTCTGAAGAAGCACCGTGCTGCTATCGGATATACTCTGGATGATCTTAAGGGCATTAGTCCCACATTATTCCAACACAAAATTAGTCTGGAGGACGATGCCAAACCAGTTAGAGATCCTCAATGACGACTGAATCCCAAGATGAAAGAACTGGTAAGAAAGGAGATACTAAAGCTCCTTGAGGCAGGTATAATTTATCCCGTTGCTGATAGTGATTGGGTAAGCCCTGTCCATTGTGTTCCTAAAAAGGGAGGTATTACTGTCGTTCCTAATGATAAAGATGAATTGATCCCGCAAAGAATTATTACATGTTATAGGATGGTAATTGATTTCTGTAAGTTAAATAAAGCTACTACGAAAGATCATTACCCTTTACCTTTTATTGATCAAATGCTAGAAAGACTACCCAAACACACATATTTCTGCTTTCTAGATGGTTATTCTGGTTTCTCTCAAATACCTGTGTCAGCGAAGGATCAATCAAAAACTACTTTTACTTGTCCTTTCGGTACTTTTGCTTATAGACGTATGCCTTTTGGTTTATGTAATGCACCTGCTACCTTTCAAAGATACATGATGGCTATATTCTCTGACTTTTGCGAAAAGATTTGTGAGGTATTCATGGATGACTTCTCCGTTTATGGATCCTCTTTTGATGATTGCTTAAGCAACTTGATCGAGTTTTGCAGAGATGCGAAGACACTAGTCTCGTCTTGAATTGGGAAAAGTGCCACTTTATGGTTAAGGAAGGCATTGTCTTGGGGCACAAAATTTCCGAGAGAGGTATTGAAGTTGATAAAGCTAAAGTTGATGCTATTGAAAAGATGCCATGTCCCAAGGACATAAAAGGTATAAGAAGTTTCCTTGGTCATGCCGGTTTTTATAGGAGGTTCATCAAGGACTTCTCTAAAATCTCTAGTCCTCTGACTAATTTATTGCAAAAAGATATTCCTTTTGTCTTTGATGATGATTGTGTAGAAGCATTTGAAATACTTAAGAAAGCTTTGATCACTGCACCTATTGTTCAGCCACCCGATTGGAATTTACCCTTTGAAATTATGTGTGATGCTAGTGATTATGCTGTAGGTGTTGTTCTAGTGCAAAGAGTTGAGAAGAAATTGAATGTTATCCAGTATACTAGTAAGACTCTTGATACTGCCTAGAGAAATTATGCTACTACTAAAAAAGAATTCTTAGCAGTTGTGTTTGCATGTGATAAGTTTAGACCTTATATTGTTGATTCCAAAGTTACTATTCACACTGATCATGCTGCTATTAAATATCTTATGGAAAAGAAAGATGCTAAGCCTAGACTCATTAGATGGGTTCTCTTGCTCCAAGAATTTGATTTGCATATTGTTGATAGAAAGGGAGCTAAGAACCCCGTTGCAGACAACTTGTCTAGGTTAGAGCATGTTCTTGATGACCCACTGCCTATTGATGATAGCTTTCCTGATGAACAATTA